ATACACTTGAGAACCGAGTTTTAAATCAGATATTCACCTTGATTCTAACCCCAGGAACTCAGCAGGGCCCACTCGGCACTCTCATACTTGTGAGACACGTGGCCACATCCCTGTTCTAAAATAGGTTTTTATATATTTTTTGTTCTATTTGTGGGAGCAAACCAAAGTAAGTGAAGAAAAGTCCTTCCACGCAAGGGGCGCACAATCATAATGTGCGCATGTGTTCTTCCATTAACGTTTCGAATCCGTCACCAGGTGTTCCTTCAGAGGGGTTTACATTTTCCAAGCGTCGAGAGGAGCTTCGTGTGGAGCGATAGGCCGGGTAGCTTCCACACAGGTGATTCTTCCGTGGCAGCAGCAACTCATGCATTATCTTGCAAGTGGCCTTTTTGTATGTACAGTGAGGGAAAAAAGTATTTGATCCCCTGCTGATTTTGTACATTTGCCCACTGACAAAGAAATGATCGGTCTATCATTTTAAAGGTAGGTTTATTTGAACAGTGAGAGACAGAATAACAAAAAAAATCCAGAAAAACGCATGTCAAAAATGTTATAAATTGATTTGCATTTTAATGAGGGAAATAAGTATTTGACCCACAATCAATCAATCAGTTTCCAAACTCTCCACCGTGGCCAAGACCAAAGAGCTCTCCAAGGATGTCAGGGACAAGATTGTAGACCTACACAAGGCTGGAATGGGCTACAAGACCATTGCCAAGCAGCTTGGTGAGAAGGTGACAACAGTCGGTGCGATTATTCGCAAATGGAAGAAACACAAAACAACTGTCAATCTCCCTCGGCCTGGGGCTCCATGCAAGATCTCACCTCGTGGAGTTGCATTGATCATGAGAACGGTGAGGAATCAGCCCAGAACTACACGGGAGGATCTTGTCAATGATCTCAAGGCAGCTGGGACCATAGTCACCAAGAAAACAATTCGTAACACACTACGCCGTGAAGGACTGAAATCCTGCAGCGCCCGCAAGGTCCCCCTGCTCAAGAAAGCACATTTACATGCCCGTCTGAAGTTTGCCAATGAACATCTGAATGATTCAGAGGACAACTGGGTGAAAGTTTTGTGGTCAGATGAGACCAAAATGGAGCTCTTTGGCATCAACTCAACTCGCCGTGTTTGGAGGAGGAGGAATGCTACCTATGACCCCAAGAACACCATCCCCACCGTCAAACATGGAGGTGGAAACATTATGTTTTGGGGGTGTATTTCTGCTAAGGGGACAGGACAACTTCACCGTATGAAAGGGACGATGGACGGGGCCAGGTATCGTCAAATCTTGGCTGAGAACCTCCTTCACTCAGCCATGGCATTGATAATGGGTCGTGGATGGGTATTCCAGCATGAAAATGACCAAAAACACACGGCCAAGGCAACAAAGGAGTGGCTCAAGAAGAAGCACATTAAGGTACTGTAGTGGCCTAGCCAATCTCCAGACCTTAATCTCATAGAAAATCTGTGGAGGGAGCTGAAGGTTCGAGTTGCCAAACGTCAGCCTCGAAACCTTAATGACTTGGAGAAGATCTGCAAAGAGGAGTGGGACAAAATCCCTCCTGAGATGTGTGCAAACCTGGTGGCCAACTACAAGAAACGTCTGACCTCTGTGATTGCCAACAAGGGTTTTGCCACCAAGTACTAAGTCATGTTTTGTAGAGGGGTCAAATACTTATTTCCCTCATTAAAATGCAAATCAATTTATAACATTTTTGACATGCGTTTTTCTGGATTTTTTGTTGTTATTCTGTCTCTCACTGTTCAAATAAACCTACCATTAAAATTATAGACTGATCATTTCTTTGTCAGTGGGCAAACGTACAAAATCAGCAGGGGATCAAATACTTTTTTCCCTCACTGTATGTACGTTGAACTTCTTTTGCACTGTCCATCGCCAATCGTGCTAATCGGAGGTGCGGGGTGGAAGGACAGCAAACTAAATGCCAAAAAGCAGTTCCAAAGAAATTAGTTTTAAATCCAAATGATTTAAAAAGTGCATTAGCTCCAGTGGCTTCCTAATATCAGAAAGGAGAACATTCCAGACGAAGTGTATCTGAACACGCGCGCGCGATGCAGTGACCCTCTTTGTACGATAGCTCCTATCGCCACATGGGACAACCAAACCCACCTTCGGCATCGCTGAATCGCAGTGTACATCCAATCCTTTACTTTTAAAATTAAAATCCCCAATTATTCTCAACCCTGGCCCCTATGTTTATCGAACCAAATCTTTTTTTACAAGTTTATTCAAGTCAAAGTGTCTGCCTTGCTCAAGCGACTGTGAGTCAGGCCTTGTATGTATGCTTTGGAAGTACGGAGCCATTGGTGGAGATTCCACATTCCTATTGTGGGGAGCGGTGGTGCAATGGGTTAGTGCCCTGTGCTACAAACCTAGTGACCCGAGTTCGATTCGTGCTAATGGCCAATATCAGTGGCGAATGTTTGAACTGGTCCTAGGCCTCCCCTAGGTTGACTCAGCCTCAAATGAGTACCTGGTGCAGTGTGTAAAAATTGCCACTAGGGAGATGAACGTGGCCAGGTGTGGTGCTGGCCACCCACCCCCTCGTGTGCCTTTCCGGCCTTTGTAGGTGCACTTGCCCCATCAGTCTATTAAGGCTATATGGGGGAACTTTGTTTTGTCTTTGTATACTTTGTGAGTACTAAGCCACTGGTGAAAATTCCATATTCCAATTGCGGCATTCCATATATACATACGGCAGCTGATGTTGATGTCCCCCACAGTGGTATCTGGTTTATCGACCCTTGAGAGATGATGGTGCTGAGTCAACCCCTTGGCCGAGATGTGAACTCGCATACTTTGTGACTGCGAGTAGAGTTATCTGACCGCAGCGCCGCCCGGTCAAATCATCCGTTAAGCGAATGACACTAGCAGCAGCAACAATTGAAAAGAACACATTAAACAGATTTGCTTTTGACCAAATCACCCGTATTGTCAGATCTCAGAAGCTCAGCAGGGTGAAACATGGATAGTGCTTTGATGGTTAACCGCCATGTATAACAGGAGTTATAGGCTGTAGACTGCATGGTTATTGTAATTACCAGCAAAACGTTGTACTCGAATTGTAAATGTTGTGGGTTGACTCTCCAACACACCGGTGTGCTGAACTTGTAACTAATTGGCACAATTTTGTTTACGTGACAAACGTAACTAATTGGCTGTGTTGGGTGATGGCGGGCTTAACGACACATTTATATTTACGCGATCTAATCCAAAAAGAACAATCTTGATTATGAACCATTCTTGTAATGTGCTTCTATGCTCTCACATGCTCCCCCATCTTTACCAACGCATTGTGGTGAAGATCAAATAAACCCCATCTCCTGGATGTCATGGGGAGGTGCCAACAAGTAGTGGAATGAGAGAGGACTGTAGCTGTGCGTTCAGTAGATGTCCCTGGCGAGACGTACGGGGCTTAACACATTGTCCTAGCCCATTTACTGCTCATGCTAGTGTAGCATTTAGACAGGCGGTTGATGAGAAATGAGCATTGAACAGTTTATACAATCCGTAAAAAGCAAAGATCATGACATCTGCCTCGAGGGGTGAACAGAACTGACCCCAAAGGGTACAACGAGCTTTTGTAAATATCGGTGTGTATGTGTGTGTGTACACATCTCCTCGTGTGTCTTTTCGGCCTTCATATGTGCGCGCGAACAGCACTTGCCCCAAAAGTATGTTAAGGCTATATGGGAGATCTTTGTATGTGTGTACTTTTGTGTACGTGTGGGAGATGTAGTGTAATGATTTTCGCACTGCACGATGAACCCAAAAACCCGAGTTCTATTGCCACGTTCTTACAGCCAACGTCGATGACGATTATCTGAACCGGTCCTGGGCCTCCCCTAAGTCGACTCAGCCTTAGGGGCCATCCTACGTACGCAAAAATCTGTCAAAACTTGACCCCTCCCCCCCTCACTGTACGCACGCAAGCTTTTTACACCCCCCCCCCCCACTTGCATAAGTACGCCTGACGCACCCCCCCCCGAATCCTATAGAACGGCCGATATTTAATCCATGCAGAAACGATCAAGGACTAATAATATTAACGTGTTTAAGCAAACAGATAGTCCACCGCCGGACTATCTAACTAATTTGAAGACCAATGTAGACACATTTTGTCGAGGCTTCACCCCCCCCCCCCCCATTGTACGTACATTGTCAGTAGACCCCCCATACGCAAACGTACGCATTTGGGTTAACTCCCCCCTCCATGCGTACGTACTAAATGGATGGCCCCTTAAATGGGTACCTGGTGCGGTGTGTAAGCATCGCTACTGGGGAGACAAAGGCGGCCGTTTGTGGTGCCAGCCAACGGCCCCCCCCCCCCGTCATGTGTCGTATCGGCCTTCATATCGGTGCTCGCCAAACAGTATTTGCACCAAGAGTCTTTTCAAGGCTCTATGGCAGGGGATCTTTATCATTGTGTGTGCGTTGGACCGTGGCAGCTACACGGAAAGCAACCAAGCACGGAGAGCGAGAGACTCCCGCTTTCGGAATAGTTGGCGCCCCGCTACTGCCGTAGCACGTGCACGCGGCTCCTACGCACGCACGGAGCAGTCATCGCGCACCGTTGTGCTCTTAATCTGCTGCTGCTGCTGCTGCTACTGTGGCAGGCGCATGCGCTACCCAGACGGCTTGACTCGCAAATCCGTATTTATACCCCGCGTTCGCATTTTCTTCCCATCGGCCGTTAACGATTGGCGTCGCTGCCGCCGCGATCTGTGATGCGACGAATGCTGTCGCCCGGGCGTCCCTAGAGGTTGCGAGAGCGAGAAAGGGTTGGGGGAGAGAGAGAGAGGGAGGTGGGTAGGGGTGGGGGGTGGAGCAGTGGGGAGCGGCTGGTGCTGATTTCTCTTCCGTTGCTGCCTCTGCCTCCGCTGCTAACTGCCGCTGCCGTCTGGCACAGGGCTTTGTCGCGTCTTACGTTGCAATGCTCAACATCATCAGCAGCGTTTTCTGCTGGAATTTCAGGGAGAAAAGCGCGGCAGAGGCTGAGATCAAGGACATCGAGGAAGCCAACAAGCATCATGCGGCCGAAGTGCAGGTACGACGCACACGCCGGCTCGCACCGTGTGCAGTGGATAGCTCTGACGACGCGTACGCATGCACACACCGCTCGCACCACGGGCTCGCACACATGGAGTGATGATGGCGCTCGCGTGCACATACCCTGATTGCGCACGCGTCCGTGACAATTACGCCGATTGGCACACGCGCGCAGACAGCGAACGCGCACGCCGCTCGCGCACACGCACGCGTGCATAATATGATTGTGAGCATATGTACACACGCAGACAAGCAGACGATTCGCTGGTACATGCGCATTGTGTTCGGGGGTCGCGAGTGCATGCGTATGCACACAGGCTGCTTGCTTGCATATACACAGCATTATGTACACGTACACGATTATGCACATACACGATTGTGCACACATACATGCACACCAAAGACAAAGACCCCCCTCCGCCCCCGTATCGCCTTTAACATACAATTGGGTCAAGTTGCTTGTTAGTGAGTACATACAATGGCTGGCACAGCACTAAGGAGTTGGTGGCCAACAACAACACCCAGCCGCCTATGTCGCCCCAGTGCTGATGTTTAAACACCGCACCAGGTATTAAGTCAAGGCTGAGCCAACCCAAGGGAGGCCCACACATGAACCACTCTTGCACTGCTGTTCACTTGCTTTTGCACACACACACACATGCACCGCACTCAGATTGCATGCGTAATGTGTGTGCGGTGCATGCATTGCTTTGCAGCAAAACCTAGTCAATGTTGGGTTTGGTGCATAATACTGTCCTCACTCCTGCCCTTGGGCTAAAGAATATAAGTGAAACATGTGCGCAGGTGATAATTGTGTTGTTATTATTGTTGTTGTGATCATCGAGTTTACATTGTGACAAATTCACTTATTCACCCGAAGTGGGCAAATGAGACCATGAATGACATTTTAATTAAAATGAAAATGACACGCACGTACACATTATCTATCTGCAGTAGCGTACTTGCACTACGCATGGGACCAAAGACATTTGCATTATAATACAGACACGAAGCTTAAACATTGCCAATTTTGTTCCCATCTTGTAAAAATTGCTTTCTTTCATTATGTGATTCGTATCATGACTATCATCATTGTCATCGTTATCATTCTTATCTTCATGATGCAATATTCGCAACACATATCTTGATTTACAGCCTTCTAAATGCATTTTGCAAATGTATATTTGCCTTGACCAGATTTATTATAATCTATGATGGATTTAAAATAAACATGTATTGCATTTTAAAACACAGGGATTCGTGTACACATGTTACAGTTTCTCTGTACGTATACATACATACGTACATACATACAAAAAGACAGAGATCCCCCATATAGCCTTTACAGACTCTAGGAGCAAGTGCTGTTAGCGAGCACCTATGAAGGCCGGCACAGCACACGAGGGGGTGGGTGGCCAGCACCACACAAGACCACCTTTGTCCCCCCAGTGGCGATGTTTTATGCACCGCACCAAGTCTTCATTTGAGGCTGAGTCTTCCTAGGGGAGGCCCAGGACCGGTTCACATAATCGTTACTGGTGTTGGCTGTGAGCGGGAATCGAACTCGGGTTGCCGGGTTATTAGTGCAGCTCACTAACTGCTGCACTACTGTTCCCATTGTACACATGCATACATACACACATACACGTGTATATTACATTTCATGAACACACATACACACACCTATATTTATCACGTACTTTGCTTTGTGATATTTCAATGAAAGACGCTCTTAAACATTATGGAGTGAGAGAGAGAGAACAAACTGTTATATTGCCTTCTATGGCCATTCATCTCGTTGAGGGCTTCCAAAATATTTACATTTTAATGCTGAACAAGTATAATCGATGTGAATAATCCATTCCAAACAACTTAACTGTGAAGGGTGTGCTCTGCCTACTGTCGGCGTGTGAGCGCTGACCCTGGCCGGCTAAGCTTCAATCATTGACACAGCCAGCTCTGTGTCTCTCCCTCTCTATCCACACCAGAGATACACCTTCATTCACAATAAATCCACCCGTGCCTCACGGCTACTCTATGCTAGCCCTAGTTAGTGGCATCTTCATTTCAAGTGTCAGCCGCCTTAAAGACCACACGTTAATTTTCCAACCTACGTTCAAGCAGGCTGTGGGTGCTACCCACCCCACCCTCGCCCGCCCCCCCCTCTTCACTCTCCTCCCCCCTGTCCTTCACCTCCAAAGTGCTGGATTACAGGCGCACATAGCCACCACGTCCACCACCACCCGACTAAATCATGAACTGTTGTTTTGCAGGGCTATTCCCCCAATATATTGTGCGTGCATTGTGTTATTCTCCCGGCTCTGAATTCTGGAAGAACATTTCTCCGTGTCGTGATCCTGATTCCAACAGCACGGTTGTGATGTAATGATAATAAGGAAACGAATAATGTGCAGTTCTTTTATCAATTCACAGCTGGATGAAGGTCTCCCCTTGCCGTGTCAGTCACAGGGGGTGGGGGGGGGAGTTCTTTGATCATTCTGGTTTTTGCGGTATGATGATAAGTTCAGGGATTGGGCAGCACGGAGTGAGGGTGGGAGGCGATGTAGAATCAGTTCAGATAACATTCACCACTGATGTTAGCCCTTGTTGGGAATTTAATTTTTATGTCGCTGCATTCATAGGGCAGTGCGCTAACCACTGCGTTTCTGCTCCATCCCAGATCGACTATATTCTCATTAAAAAATATTATACATAAATTCAGGGCTCAGAGATTTGTCGTCCAGGGATATCACAACTCGGCGGGTTTTATTTTATATTTCAAAATATATGTGGGGCATTCAATGCTGTACACTATATCTAGAGTCTGGATGTACATTTTCATTACCGCGGGAATGGTAATGTTCCCCTGAGATGTTACATCGATCAATGTAGCCGATCATGAAAAATATTCGGCTCTTCGACTGATGAACGACAGTGGCATACTGATTATCAGACTGGGGAGGCTGGAGCATGCTTATGTACAGACGTCACCCAACGCTGAATGCGGTTACATTCATAAATCATATGGCCCATTTAATTTTGCATTTGACCCCAGGGCTGACAGAAAGAGGTAAGAGTAAAAGATTTACCGTGATTTGTTTTCAGCCCTCAGTCAATTCCCTGGTGAACGAAGGCCTTCCCATGCCGTCGAGCTTGTGGGGAATGTTTGACGATGGGCAGCGATAGGGTTGGTCAAAGGGGAGTAGTCATTTCGTCAGTGACTTTAGCCACAGCCGGGTATCGAACTCACGTGGTCGGGTGAAGAGCACAGTGCTCCAGGGCTCCTTCCATCGCTGATATTTCCGTCGCTTTATGTTCTGTGTTGGCTGTTATTGAGCTGTGCCTGTCAAATCTGACAAATGACCAATGCAGTGAGACCCTTCCTCTTCGCACATCGCCGACTCGTAAATCTCAATATCGATGTTTCTCATGTGGCACAGGCATATTTGTAGAAATGTAAGAAATATATATAAAACCGTGGAGATGTAATATCAGTGAACTGCAAATCTCTTTTCGGTCTGAAATGTATACAGGGCTGTTAAGGTTATTTTTTTAGAAGGTTATCAGTTCTCATCCCAGTCGGTAGTCCATTCAGCCCATCATCCCTTTGCAATTGATCAAGTAAGTACCACTTTTTTGGAATCGTTTAGTGGTTTCTCCGATCGGAGAGCTAAAAACCCATCGGGGAGAGCCGTACAGCTCAACTGTCAAACCCTACACAATCAAGTTTTGCGGTGGTCTCATCTGGGTTTACCGATTGCTGCCATGTGAACGTAGAATATCCACCATGTTCAAAGGACTGCAATCAGAGATTGCCATCTCCAAATTCTCATTTGAGCAGGAAAATAATTAACCCTGTCATTCATCGTGTCCACTGGTGGACTGCCAATGATTTATTTGTGACGACGTGAAATGTTTTGGCAACATTCTAGATATTATGGAGGTTTCCTCTGCTTCTGGAAATCATATTAATTAAAATATATATGGGGTTTTGCTTTTAATAATTTCACATTTTGACTTTTGAAGCAACCTTGTTCACAAGCACAGAACAAAGAGCGAATAACAAAATTGATGTCATTGGCCTGACTTTGCTGATGAGACGTAGAAGGTCAAAACCAGTCCAGAGTTGGCTCGCTAAAACGAATGTTGTTTCAGAATGTTCGTCTACAAGGCCAGTTTGCCGATAAACTAGAAATTTTTGTATATTTTTTAACGTGGGGACATTTGTAGAATTCATTTGTAACCAAGTCAAATCCCCCTGAGATTAGTGTGGAGTTTCACAGTGCTCATGGTCTTCATCAGTGCCCATTTGTAATTGTCAAGTATTGTCCAGCTACTAGTCTGTTCTCCAGTTGTAGACCAGGAGTCGATCTCGGGAATTCATAAAATGCCAGCTCAAGTGCCTACCATGGGTGTTATTGTAGCATCATCGTCCCCCCCCCCCCCCGAGCCAGCATGGCAGATCTTGTGGACTGTGTCCAAGTTCTTGTGTCAGTGCAAGCTTGGTATATTTTTTGTAATGTTTTGGTTTCATATTTTTCTCAATTTTATTCCAATTGTACTATTGGCATCTTTCCAGGTCATGAGACAAAGCAATTTCCTTTCGCAGCTCTTGCAGGGCGGGGGGCCATCAATGTCACCGTGCCTGTGGATGGTGACGTCATAGAACTATTTCTGAGATCACTCCAAGTGACCTCTCATCCAAACACTAGGTGGGGGTGCTGCTGAACTTTCCCCGCTATAAATCATTATTTTAAATGCACATGATCAAAGCTTACATTTTTCCAAATAAAGTGGAAAAATCTAAATTCGACCTGATGTTTTTTTTTCCTGCGATGATCGGTGACCAGACTAAGACTATTAACTCCATACACTTGAGAACTCAGTTTAATCACCGGTAGTTGAAACCGACGATACCCGAATAGTTGATGGTATTTCACACCAGCTGCTAGAATCTCTCACTGAAAATGCATAAGTCTCCTGCACAACCCAGCTGTTTTGCTCATTTTTAAAGGGAAAAGTCTAAACTCTGGAAAACAACGGAAATCCTCTTTCCGACATGCCCCCGCGTGCCTAAATGTGAAGCACAGCTGGTCAGATCGTAAGACAGCGGGTCAGATCGCAGTGAAATGGCAAACTTTAGCGTGCAACTAATCTTATCGGTTCTCACCGTGGGAAGCCTCTTACGGCTGGACTTTCCAAACTCCATAATCCGTGCGAGGTATTGAAATCTGGCTCCTCGGCTGTTGAGTTTGGGTCACAAACAAAAGGGCTGCAGGGAATGGTGCAGCACAACAGTTGAACCCGTTTTATTTATGTCACAACTGTGCGAGTATAATGCCACATTATTTGATAGCTACTGCGTGTAGAGCAGTGGGGGCAGCGGTTCAAGCGCTGTGCTGTGAACCCGGCCATCACCTGAGTTGCATTCTCGATCACGGCTAACATCAGTGGCGAGTGATATATACACACATACACACACTGCTCCTGGGTTCTCCTTTGCCCCTTCACCAGAAGCCACTGACTAACCAGTGTGATGAAGTATGATTAAATAATCTCCACGATCAACGTGATATGGGGGGGGAGACACCTTCATCCAGCGGTGGATTGCCAAAAGGACTGTACATGTACTCACGTGTGACTCGGATTATTTTGAAATGTTGACTTTTGAGGGTGACTTTTACTTGCAGAACTATCCTGAGGTTGCTGCTAGTGCCAGCCTTGATTGTACAGACACTCATGCCGGTGTTGCTGCTGCTGATGATGATAAGGCTGGTTACAGTGAGTCTAGTGACAGTGGTGATGCTTTCGGTGATTCTGTCGGCGATGATGCTGCATTTACTGGTGGTGCTGTTTTGTACTTCTGCTGCAAGTGCCAATGCTGAGGGTACAAACACTCATGCGGGTGCTGGTGATGATAATGAGGCTGGTTACAGTAAGTGCAGTAACAGTGGTGAAGCTTGCTGTGATTCTGTTCGACGATGTTGCTGCGTTTACCCATGGTGTTGTTTGGTACTACTGCTGCAAGTGCCAATGCTGAAGCTCATGCCGGTGCTGCTGCTGTTGCTGCTGCTGCCAATGGTGGCAATGTCGCTCTGCCCAGGAGCTGCAGAGCGAGTTGGAGAGAGAGAGCAGTCGACTCCGAGCGCTGGCGGCCACGCGGGAAGAGACGGAGCGGCGGGCGTCCGAGCTCGAGACGGAACGAGCAGAGTTAACCGAGAGACTGGCCGACACGCGGCGGCAGTGCCAGAATGAGACCAACCTGGTAACGTACGCACACACGCACGAGCGCACGCACAATCGCACAGATTCTCCCCCGCTGTGACCTTTCAGAGACTGTTGGGGCAAGTGCTGTTTGTGAGCTCCTTTTTAGATGCCACGGTGGCGAGATGTTAACTACCTCACCTGGCATACGGGAGGTCATGGGTTTCATCTCGGCCCTGATGCCTGTATATTTGTAGTGTGCGTGGTCTCCCCGTGGTCGCGTGGATTTCTCTCCGAGCCCTCCGGTTTGTCCCTCCACATTTAGAATCAACGTGCGTTTAGAGTATTTGGGTGGTATACAGTTCCACATGATAAGCCATTTCGTTGAGCTATAATTTGTGGCCAGGTCACTTCTGAAAATGAGCTATATAGCTCAGTGAGCCTTACTTGGTAAAATAATAATAGTTGAATCGATAGTGACACTAGATGATCGCTGGGCGGATTATCCAACTTGTGGATTAACTAGTTTGTAGTTTCGGTTTTTAAAGCCGGCACGGCACACGATGGGATGGTGTTGGCCAATACCACCATGCACAACCAACTTTTCCACCCCAGTGCTGATGTTTACACACCGCAAAAGGTACTCATTTGAGGCTGAGTTGACCGAGGAGATGTCCAGATCAGTTAATTGTCACTTAATGTTGGCCAGGAATCGAGCTCTGGTCGTCAGGTTCGAAGTTCAGTGTGATTCTGGTTAATCTACAATTCCACTCATCCTATTGCACACACGTACACATACAAACACATGCGCATGCTGTTAGCGGGCACCTATGAAGACCGGCACGGCACATGAGGGGGTGGAAGGCCAACACCTTGCCTGACCACCTTTTTCTCCCTAGTGGCGATGTTTACACGTCACACCAGGTACTCATTTGAGGCTAAGTCGACATAAGGGAGGCCCATGACCAGTTCAGATAATCATCACGTGCTTACCGCTACACTATCACTCCCCACACACCACCTCTACACACACTTGGACACGTGTACCACGCAAAGCCTAGAACATTACTCACACATGTCCGGGCACCGCTTATGAGATGGTGGTCTCAATCTTTACAACGTCTCTCAGGGTATTACCGGAGCATATAATTGCACAGAACTTAGCAGTCGTGGTGTGGTTAGCGCGCACCCACACCATGAACCCGACAATCTTGAGTCTGACTCCCAGTCACTGCTAACATTAGTGGTTGAGTAATGTCTTCACCGGCCTTAGCCACCAACCCTCCTCTCCCCTTCACCGACCATCACAAACCGGCATGGCAAAGTCTGCTCCAACAATCCCCATGACCAAACCACGGCAGGGGGAGGCTTTCTTCCAAGCATTGGATTGACAAAGAGGGGAGCTATAAATGACTGTTAATATAATTACACACTCGATGGTCTCGCTGCCTTCCCGGAAGGTGTAATCACGGAAGGAGGGTTTGGCGAGTCCCAAGCCGGATTACAGCTCGCGCCTGCAAAGAAATATCGTTGCTCGCTTCGCATGCAATGGGAGATGGCGGCGGTCAGCTGTTAGCAGCAAAGTGGTGCAGTGCGGCTTGCTTTCTGGCGCTAAATATAAAAAAATGTGATGAATAGCGACCTACCGCAGACGCGCTTACACTTTGCCTCCTCTCTATTTATATTTTATTGCCCTTCATTTTTGTCCTGTGTTCTGCCGCAGGCTTTAAATTTTAATTTGAGAGCCTGCACGCCGTGTGATTATTTTATTTTTGGGTTCTGTATTTTATTTTTAAAATCTTGACATCCGTATGTCAAACCCCCTCAGCTCAATTACCACTGGGGCATGTCGCATTTTATCTAAGTATTTACATTATCTAAATACTTTTTAACCTTCTATTTTTGGAAATGTTTCATTGAGCTGCAATTACAGCGTGTCAGCTTTCAGCCTCCAAATCAATGTGAAGTACGATACTCTGCAGGCTTACAGGGCTGTGATGGTCAATCCATTTATGAGATCAAAGTCATTTACACTCAACTCAGACTTCAAAGGTCACAAGTTCAAATTTCTGTCGGAGTTCAACTCGGCCCATCATCTAAGCGGGGTTGATAAAATATTCTGCTTTTTTTATGAAGTCATTCGTGATGCATGACCAGTGTTGAAGAGCCACTACAGTCAATTTTTATTTTGCACTTAATTTACGATTGCCTATATATTCCAGAGCCGTAGATGAGAGTTACAGATCAGTTGGGCGACTGATAAATAGACCAGACGCAAAGAGAGAGCTGAAGACAAGAGGCAAGGTTTGATTTATTTCACGTGGCAACGTGATGGTGGCATTTGTATGTATGTATGTATTTGAACTTCTTTCGCATCGTACGTAGCCAGCCATGCTAATCGTGTCATATAACATCCTCTGGGCCCGCCAGCACACGCTAATTTTATATATATGTGGCCCACCTGGAACGATAGTTGGAAGAACTATGCTGTGACATGGATCATAAATGAAAAACATGAACGAAGAACATAAAACAAAAACGGGACATTTCACAAAGAAGCTTGGATGGCTACATGCTTGAACTTCCAGTGAGAGACAGACAATGGAACACGTGAATAAGACAATATGAACTAAAAATGAAAGTAAAAAATATTTTTATTTTACCAAATAATGCCCACTGAGCTATATGGCTCTCATTCCGAAGTTACCTGGCCACATGATAGCTCAACGAAGTCGCTTATCACGTGGGAATGTTTAGCAGCCAATTACTCTAAAACACATGTTCATTCTAAATGTGGAGGGAAAAACCAGAGGACCCGGAGAAAAATCCACACGACCACGGGGAGTGACATACAAACTCCAGATTTACAGGCATCAAGGTCGGGATCGAACCCACATACTCCTGCATACCAGGCTAGGTAGTTAACATCCCGCCACTGCGGCGCCCCAAACATACACAGGTAAAAGACATCCCTGGAAGGGATGATTGCCGATGGTCGTGAATAATAACAGCTGGGCAGCCACGGATCGGACGTGTCCAATGCGACGTCCACCAAGGAGATGGATCCATGCAGTCGGCTCATGCGCCAGTGCTCGTTGGCATGCCGATGTGTTTTTGGATCGTGCCGCATGCTAACCTACCCAAACCCACCCGCCCGCAGATCTCGTCGCTGCAGGCGCAGCTGGTGCAGCATGAGGAGGGCGTGCGCACCGGCCGCCACGAGATGGCCGAGGCTCAGGCGCTGCTCGCGAGCCTGCGGCAGCAGCGCTCACGGCTTGAGCAGGAGGTGCAGGCGAGCGGCGCGCGCCTCGACGCCGTCACCGCCTCCGTGGCAGAGGCGCAGAGCGAGGTGGGGCAGGTGAGTGGCCGGGGTCCGATTCGGGCAACTTGATGGTTTGCCGCAATTCTGGCGACGGCGATTGGCGTCCAGCATCGATTGTTTTGTGGGGTTTTTTCCCCCCCCCCCCCCCCGCTGTTGATGGGTTTGGCCGACGTGGTGAACCCGTAATGATTGACCACCTTCCCCCCCCCCCACTGCCCTTTCCAAAGATTATTTAAATTGCCACAATAGCAGGGTTGTGATATGATTCTATAAATTACCACAATAGCAGGGTTCTGATATGATTCTATAAATTACCACAATAGCAGGGTTATGATATAATTATATGAATACCACAATAGCAGGGTTGTGATATAATTCTATAGATTACCACAATAGCAGGGTTGTGATATAATTCTATAAATTACCACAATAGCAGGGTTGTGATATGATTCTATGAATTGCCACAATAGCAGGGTTGGGATATAATTCTATAAATTACCACAATAGCAGGGTTCTGATATGATTCTATAAATTACCACAATAGCAGGGTTATGATATAATTATATGAATACCACAATAGCAGGGTTGTGATATAATTCTATAGATTACCACAATAGCAGGGTTGTGATATGATTCTATAAATTACCACAATAGCAGGGTTGTGATATGATTCTATAAATTGCCACAATAGCAGGGTTGTGATATAATTCTATAAATTACCACAATAGCAGGGTTGTGATATAATTCTATAGATTACCACAATAGCAGGGTTGTGATATAATTCTTTAAATTACCACTATAGCAGGGTTGTGATATGATTCTATAAATTACCACAATAGCAGGGTTGTGACTTGATTCTATAAATTGCCACAATAGCAGGGTTGTGATATGATTCTATAAATTACCACAATAGCAGGGTTGTGATATAATTCTATAAATTACCACAATAGCAGGGTTGTGCTATGATTCTATAAATTGCCACAATAGCAGGGTTGTGATGTAATTCTATAAATTGCCACAATAGCAGGGTTGTGATATAATTCTATAAATTACCACAATAGCAGGGGTGTGATATGATTATATAAATTGCCACAATAGCAGGGTTGTGATATGATTCTATAAATTACCACAATAGCAGGGTTGTGATATGATTCTATAAATTGCCACAATAACAGGGTTGTGATATGATTCTATAAATTACCACAATAGCAGGGTTGTGATATAATTCTATAAATTGCCACAATAGCAGGGTTGTGATATGAGTCTATAAATTACCACAATAGCAGGGTTGTGATATGATTCTATAAATTACCACAATAGCAGGGTTGTGATATAATTCTATAAATTGCAACAATAGCAGGGTTGTGATATGATTCTATAAATTGACACAATAGCAGGGTTGCGATATGATTCTATAAATTGTCATAATAGCAGGGTTGTGATATGATTCTATAAATTGCCACAATAGCAGGGTTGTGATATAATTCTATAAATTGCCACAATCGCAGGATAGTGATATATTCTATAAATTGCCACAATAGCAGGGTTGTGATATGATTCTATAAATTGCCACAATAGCAGGGTTGTGATATAATTCTATAAATTGCCACAATAGCAGGGTTGTGATATGATTCTATAAATTGCCACAATAGCAGGGTTGTGATATGATTCGAGAATCAATTACGTTTTGTCTCGGTGATGATGGGCCTGGTGGGGGCAGTGAACGTGTCCGATCCACTCGCCTTAACTCCCACGTTCCGGCTCGGTGAATTGCCACGATTAGGTGTCCTTATTTGATTCAAGATGAGATATTTATTTAATGTCTTTTGTTTTGCCAAATCACGTGCAGTTTTTTTGTGTTTTTGTCGCTTTTGCTCCAAGACTCGATAATGGCTTTGGGCCCCTTAGCCCAAATGCAATAACAAAGTATAGTTTGCATAAATCATCCCCAATAGATTCCCACATACAAAATTTCATTCACATGACGATTTTAGTGAAATTAAATGTAACTGATGATTTGTCATATGCCGCGTGGGTGATGTCTTGTATTCTCACTCTCGTGATGTGTGTATCACTGTGCGAGTGTGGATGTGTGTGTGTGTGTGATTACTGTGTGTGGGTAGCAGTAGTACAGCAGTTAGCACGCCATGCTACGAACCCAGCAACCCGAATTCGCAAAACACTAGTGACGATTATCTCAACTGGTCATGGGCCTCAGCCTCAAATGAGTACCTGTTGCGAGGCGGCCGAGTGTGGTGCTGGCCACATTACCCCATCGCGTGCTGTACTGGCCTTAATAGGTGCTCACTAACAGTACTTAGCCCAACGGTCTGTTAAGGCTTAATTGGGGAGCTTTGTCTTACTGTTTTTGTGTACGGCCTTATTTGATGCTTGCTATAACAGCACTTGCCGAAACGATCTGTTAAAGGCTAAATGGGGATGTTTGTCTTTGTATGCGAGAGTGGTGATGTTAGTTTGTGTGTATCTCAAGCCTCATACTTTCCCGTAACCTCTAGTGGACTTATGTACGTGTTCTCGGGATATGTTTCAGATATTCGGATCTTAGGGGCAATTTTATATATTTTTCGGATATTCGGTAATAATTTTACTTCGTGTTGATGAAGGGGACCTCACCCAATGGCACGTGACACCACTTTTGTCAGGAAAAGTGAGGAATTGGTGTAATATTAATGACATTACTTCCAATGTCATGTTTTCAGATAAAACTGAAACAAGCTACTCTTCAGATAATCCGAATCTTCACATCGAGGCCACATTTTCTGTATTTTTCGGATTACCCTGATCATCAGCAACATGGCCAAAATACAGGTGGTCTCTGGTTTATATCGGTCTGATTTACAACGTTTTAAGTAATGCCATCGTGGATCAATTTACGACGCAGAAACTTGATTTACGACGCATCTTCCAACACTACTCTGAACACATTTGAATCGAGTCAGTCTCGTTTCTGATGTGACTGGGCATGGAGCTTTCATTATTTTCAAGTTTTTTTGTGGATGTTTACCAATGAAGCCCTCTTAAATATGGCTGATAAAAGGAAAAGCACATCGGCAAGTGGCATTTCAACTCTCTGTGGGAAAATAGGGTTTGATTTACGACGGGGTTTCCAAGAACTTATTGTGTCGTAAAAGCATGGACTGCCTGTATTATATACCCTGCACATAAATATCTCTCCGATTATTGCATCGGCAGACTAAGGTGTGCTTGACGGAGCTCATCCACAAGAGCGAGCGACGCAGCATCCGTCGCAGCGTCAGCCGCCAGAGCAACACGAGCACCAAGTCGGGCTCGCCCGTGTCGCCCGGCCCGCCCGGCACGCCGCCCATGCGGGCCTTCCGCTTGCCGTCCACGACCACCGCCGCCACTGCCATCACCGCCAACAACAACAATGCCGTTAACAACAATAACAACGCCATCGCCACTGCCTCGCGCAACACCACTCCTAGCGGCGCGGAGAACGGCGAACAACCGGATGCGGAGACGAGCAGCCTTGGGGAGACGGTGGATGGCAGAACGTCGTCCGATCACGACCGCGCGGCCGTCGGCGCCACCGTGAGTTGGCCGGGCAGCGTCGGCCTCTCATTGCCGCACTCTGGCCCCGGCATGGCAGCTAGCTACCGTTACCGCCGCATTCATTGGAGTCACTTGTCTCTCACCACGGTGGCGAGATGTTAACTACCTCGCCTGGTATACAGGAGGTCGTGAGTTCGATCCTGATGCCTGTAGATTTGGATTTTGCATGTTCTCGCCGTGAACGCGATAATTTTTCTCCGGTTCCTTCGGGTTTTTCCTTCACATTTAGAATCAACATGGATTTATAATATTTAGCTGCTATAAATTTCCACGTAATAAGAAACTTAGTTGAGCTATCGTTTATAGCTCAGTGGGCCTTGCCTGGTAAAAAAAAAATGTTAGTTTCATAAATTGTTCAGAGTACCTCCGAAAACAAAACTGCACGTTGGAAAGCGTTGTGTAATCCGTACAAATGCACGCTTGTATTTCCCCCATCTGTTTCTTGTTTTGTTTACCGTTGTACCATCTCCCGCAGACCAACAGCAGCCCTGTGAGTTCCATGAGTGGGCTGAGCGTGAGTTCCGGCATCACAGAAACCAAGATGGAGGAGAACAACCCGGATCTGGTAAGCAGGCTTGCCAAGATTCTACTTGAGAACAACGGGAAGTATGAAATATAACATTGACATACGTCCTTCTTCTATGGACACATATGTAGGATGGACAGCAATAGCAAAATTTAAAGTGTCTTGTTCATAAAAATGGCAAGAACCGGAAACAGAGGAAGACCTAAAAGAGAGTAGCTTGATGACGACATAAGAGATTGATGCCAGACAGATGTGCACTACTTGAGCATATTGGCACAAGACAGAGGAAAAGTGGAAAGAAATGCCGAAACGTGCAGTGGACACCTACGGGATATCTGCCTATGGATCATGATGATGATAATGTTTTTGTTTAATGCACTGCTGGACACAGCCAATTAATTAGGCTGTCACGTGGTGAACAAACGTGCATCATGATGCTGGTTGTGACCACCAGTGAAATGTCAAACTACCCAATTGTGAAATGTTGTGCAGATCGTTCTCCATCAACAACAACAACACACGTGGTCATAAATTGGCCACATTTGTTCATCATGCGACAGATTTATTAATTGGGTTGTGTCGGATGGAGGAACAGGAGGAGTTGGGTGTGCGACACACATTTTACGTACGCGATCTGACCGGGGAGAACAACGACACAAAAACAATGATGATTGAACGTTTTCGTGACTGCAAGGATTCATCTTCTTTGGTTCTTTCGGTAAAGTCACGTAGAATGAGAATAAAATAATAAATTAATAAAATTAAATAACACAATAAAATTCTCACGACGTTTCGGCCACAACACAAGTGGCCTTCATCAGGTGAAGGGACGAGACTGTCTCGCTCCAGCGCTGTCCTCGAGACAGTCTCGTCCCTTCACCTGATGAAGGCCACTTGTGTTGTGGCCGAAACGTCGTGAGAATTGTATTGTGTTATTTTATTAATTTATTCTCATTCTACGTGACTTTACCGAAAGAACCAAAGAAGAACAATGATGAATCGGAGATGTTGTTTTTGTCAATGGACACGCATCGCACTACCTCTGCCCCAAACGTTTGATCGTGTCCCATAGCACTGGGCTTGTTGCTTGCACGCGTGTGTGTCCAACGCAGTATCTGGTGTGGTGTGTAAACATCACCACTGGGGAGACAAAGGCGGACGGGCGTGGTTTTGGCAACCCACCCCCTCGTGTGCCGTGCCGGCTTTCATAGGTGCTCGCTAACAGCACTTGCCCCAACAGTCTGTTCAGGCTATAGAGGGGGTCTTTGTCTTTGTCCATCGCAGGATGATCCGTTCCGCAGCGCTCCACCCATATTTGCAGACTCTTCACTCTTCTCCTCCAGCGATCCGTTCAAGGCGGACGAAATATTCAAAGACCCCTTCAAAGGCCGTAAGTCGTTATTTTCTCCACTGCCCCCTAAATACATATGCTGGAGGCACAGGAGGCTGCACATGTACACACAGACAACAAACAGTTACCTATCAAGTATGTACGAGTGTATCTAGGTGAAGCCATCCGTGCGTAGATGGATAATTTCCCAGTGCCCTTTGTAACTACGTTTTGATTATCTGCTGTTCTTGCCCTTCAGATGACCCATTTAAGAGTGACCCCTTTGCAACGGACGACACTTCTCCAGGTATTCGTCCAATACCGAGCCAGTTTTGCACTCACCTGCGCCCTCAGCCCTCGGTTATTTTTTTTGTGTTATACAAACCATCGTCGGCTCTGTAGTGGTTTTTTTATTTGCCGCCCATTGTAAAAAGCTTAATTTGGCACAAGCCGCTAGAGTGCTCGACTCGGAGCCTAATCAGGTGGTTAACTTGGCCCATCATCACACAATTAGTACTGGCATGTTGGAGGACGCCAGCAGTGGTTGTCCTGTGAACGAGACTGCACCCTACCATATGAACTTGGAATTTCCACTAGTGACTAGGGACAACCGGCAAGAGCCAATCTCCCCCCGGCATATGCTTGAGCAGCGGAATACTTTGCCCCCCTTACCTTGGGCTCCTAGCAGGTCCGTCCATATCGAAGCCATCGAAAAACCGACCGACCAACCAATAAAATACAACCAATTGGTGTCAAGTTTCGTGCGATGGAGAGCTCACACCCCACGTTGCTGTCGCATGCAGGCTTCTCGTCGGACCCGTTTGGCGGAGACCCCTTCAAGGACAGCGACCCGTTTGCGGCGAGCGAGCCAGAGGAGAAGTTCTTCAACGCGAGCGCCGTTCCTGCCGCGGCGCCGGCTCGGAACATCAGCAGTGACGATGCCTCCCAGGACGACCCATTCAGCGCCTTGAACTCTGATCCCTTCGTCATGACCGTTGAGACCTCTGCCGCTCCCACCGCTTCTGCGGTACGCTCCAACATGGTCCACCCTTTGCATTCTGCGATACGACCGAGTTAGATATTCTTGGGTCTTTCGGTAAAGTCGCGTAGATAGGTTCAAAGAAACCTATCTAGTGCTGCAGCCCGTTGACAACCTCGTTGTTGGGCATGGTGGTCGCCCATCCCAGCGCTGCGTGGGCCCAAAGCCTGCTTAGCTTCTGGGATCTGAAGAAATTGGGGCACATTCTGCTTGATTTGCTCATCAATACTTATTTGATATTTTTGATACATTTTTCGGTGCAGGTTGGTCAAGAATACCACGATCTTTGTCATTTATACGTTTAGTTTTTATACGATTGGTTGTTTTTATGCATAATTTTTTCTGATGTATTAATTTACATAATAATGGATAGGATGTAGCCCTTAATGTGATTCCGCATAGAATTATTGTACAACGTTGTGAGATGCAATTAGCATAAATTACACTCTATAAAACTTAAATTATTGCTGTTATACACAAGGCAGAACACTCAAACTTGGTATGCACAGGTGGTGCAAGTTCCCTCATGCGTCTGTACGTTTCGAATTTCATGACAAGTTAAAATGCACAAATATTTTCTTTATCTTTCGTGTTTTTTTTTTAGGATCCGTTTAAAAGCAACGACCCCTTCAAGCCAGGAGGAGTTTCGATTGGCAAGGCCTCTGGTAAGTTTGCTGGCTACGCATTGGGTAGCTCTGCTGAGTTGGGCGGCCAGATGGCTCGGCAGTGGCAAAGTGAGCAGCTCTCAGTCGGAAGTTTGCGAGTTCAAATCTAGGTTTTTTTGGATTGGCTCAGCCCATCATCCATACAGGTCCCGTAAAATAAGTACAACTTAGTGGAGAAGTCAACAGTGGTTGTTCTATGGAATAGCTTCGCCCACACCAAGGGAATGTGGAATTTTCGGCAGTGGCTCGCCGCTGTAAACAGGAGATGAGCAACCGCCTCAATGCTTATTTGAGCAGCAGCAGGAAATCACTTTGAGTGGTGTCACCATGGAGGGGGAGTTGGGAGACTCTTTGGCCATTTTAGGTGGATTTGTCAGCTTAGACCGTTGTTAAGCGTCAGGCAGTGACAGCTAAAGTGTTGAGGCTCTGGCCCTACTCTTTGCCCATGTTGGGTGGACCTATTGGCTTGGATCAGGGAGTCGGCGACCAAAATAACAAGGAGGCATTTTTGTTCGAATTCGGTAAAAACTAAAAAGTATATTTAAAGAGCCGCAATGCACTACGGTGACTGCGAGACGGTGGTCCTTAATAAATCACTGTCACGAAGCAGTCCTTAAAGAGCCGCACGCGGCTGATGAGCCGCAGACTGCCGACCCCTGGTTTAGACCGTTGCTCTGCGTCAGGCAGTGACGGCTAAAGTGTTGAGGCTCTGGCCCCGTGCTTAACATCCGTTCATTGCTTCTTATATCCGCAGCCAGTGACCCCTTTGCGACAGTGGATGGGTTTGAGGATGCAGGCTTTGGCGACTCTTTTGCCGACTTCAGCCAGATGTCGGTAAGTGACGCACAGAGCTCAAAACTCTAAGGCGCTTGTGTGCACAGACAAAGGTATTCCCCGTGTAGCCTAAGAAGGCTGGCACCGAACATGAGGGGGTGGGTGGCCAGCACCACGCCTGGCCACCTTTGTATCCCCAGTACTATTGCATAAACACCGCACCATGCACTCATTCAGAATCAGAATCTTTATTTAGACTGGAGGAATCCGATGAGCTATGAACTCTTTTTCACAAATGTCCAGTATGTCTAGTATGGGTGGGTTGAAGTTTAGTCGACCTCGGGGAGGTCCAGGCACGATTCAGATAATCGTCACTGATGTTGGCCGTGAGCAAGACTCGAACTCGGGTCGCTGTGTTCGGAGTGCAGTAAGTGATGTTGATAAACAAATGTTTCGGCTAGTAAGGCACATAGGGTGGGTGGTTTGGTGAGAACGATCTTGGTTACATTTGTTTCAATACTGCCGATGTTCATAGAAACATCGCAGTAGGTACTGATTCAGATGAAGACACTCTGGACCTCCTGTACCATGCACTTGAAAGCCTCAAGCACCGTGCGCCACTTTTGAATTTGGCCATGCATTTAACACAATTGTGCTGTATGTGGCACCTATTAAGGACAAGAGGGTGGTGTGTCCAGAACCATGCCTGACCACCTTTCCTCCCTCTCTGTGGTGCTGACGTTTACACACCGCACCACTTCACCACATAAGCACGTAATGTACGCACAACGTGAACAGCAGCGGCATTAAACAACAGTGGCAAGGAAAAACACCAACAATGGTAGGGGTAATACCACGGAGAGAGGTGACTCTTTGGGCAAGGCCGCTCGATCCGCCCGATCAGACCCGTTGCTCTGGTTTCTCCTTTCTGATTTTCCCTTCTTGCCCCCGCCGCCCGAAACCCCGCCCCGCCCCCTCCCCCCGGCAGTCGCCAAACACGAACTTGCCTCCTGAGGACGATAACAACGACGGTGCGGGCACGCCGCCGGAGCCTCCGCCGCGAACCGCCGCGGTTATCGCGGGAGGGCAGCCGCCGGCCTCCTCCTCCTCCTCCATCGCCGTGGAGGAGCGGGTGGCGCTGGAGTGGGATGCAAAGGAGCGCGAGTCGCCCGTCGTTCCGCCGCGCAAAAGCAAGACGCCAAGCCCCGTCGCGGTCGCCCCCAAGGGTGCGTTAGTGGCGACAGCAGCAGCAGCAGCAACATTATCACCATTGTCAACAGCAGCAACAACAGCGGTAGCAGCAGTAGCACAGACACAAAAGCAGTCGGCGCAGAAGAAGTTGTTGAAGCAGAAGCTACAACAACTTCTTCTGCGACAACAACAGCAACACAACCCGCAGCGGTAGCGGCAGCAGTCGTCTCTTACAAAGGCTGAAATGGCTGCTCATGGCTAAAGTGCAGTTTTACAAGGTCTGGTCAGCCCTAAACTCAACTGTATCGTTCTAAATCAACCTCTCTTCCTTGCAATTTTTACACCGCCTGCATTTTCAATTTGCCACTTGCCTACAGGCAGAGCTGTCGTGAACACCGATACGGTAATTCCTCGTTTAACGCAGTAGATGCGTTCTTAAAAAGTGCCACGTTAATGCAAATTTAAATTACATTTGCACTTTCAAATCAGCAAACAATCATCTTATGGCGGGAGAAAGAACAGGGATGAGGGTACACCACCACTGCGTACTGTGTCATTCCACATCCTGGATCATACCCAGAATTTTCATACCGCTCAGCCGCGCAGCTCAAGAAAGTAGTTCGTCGTCAACCGCTCAAAAACCGCGTTACAAGGTGCGCGTTCTGCGTTGTGCAAAAAGCATTACCGAATTGAAGAACCGCGTTATAGCGAAAAAGCGTTGCAGTGTGAGCACCACGCGTTATGCGAGGACTTGCCACACAATTTCGGACAACCAATACCCACCATTCGCCATGAATTGACGGTGACGTTACAACGGCGCCTGTGCCAGGCCAGGTACACTTTGACAACACACAGAGTCGCACAGAGAGACAAATATAAATGCAGGGGGAAAGAGTTAGCACTGAACTGCATTTAAATCCAGGCTCATGAATAAACCTGGTTCTAAAGAGAAGCAGGTTCCATATATGGCTCGAGTTCTCACCTGGTTTAATATTTGAACTCGCTTTAGCCCGATCATGAATTACTGCATCAAAAATGTCAGATGTTTTTGTTTTTCGGTTAATTTCGCCTAGGCCAACTTCTGACGGTTAACATCTTTATATATATACACACACACATAAGGCGCCTCAGTGAGAAGATGTGAACTTTCTCACATAGTATACAGGAGGTCGCGGGTTCTTTCCCGGCCATTACGCCTGCTGTACATCTTGAGTTTTAATTTTCTCCCTGTGGTCACGTGGAATTTTCTCTGGGTCCTCCACATTTACAAACATGCATTTAGATGATTTGGCTGCTGTAAATTTTGACATGATAAGCCACTGCGTTAAACTTTCACTTGTGGCCTGGTCACTTCTGAAAAAGAGCTATAAAGCTCAGTGGGCCTTACCAAGTAAAATAATAATAGTTTATAGTTTTTACATGTATAAATACACAATTACAATTGGTTGTGGATAAGGCAGAGTGATGTTATGGTTAGGGTTAGAATTATAAGCTTAGGATAGGGTTATGACCCATTGGGATTATAAAAACTCATCCCATGCTTTCGTGGTACATTATGATTAATAAAATAAATAGGCCTCCGTTTGTTTCTGCCTCCACATTAAAAGTAAATATTGTTTTAGTTCATGAGGCTAGGGGCTTTCCTGACCAATATTTTCCAGTCTTGCACTGTATATAAAGTGCTTTAGGCCAATAACATCTGGCAAACCGGCTATATTTGTTTTACAAGTCTGACTCCTGATGAGACCCGGCAGGTCAAAACTGATCCAGAGTTGTTCTTGTTTGAACAAATGCTGTTGGATAACATTACTCTGCAACTTATGGACTGAAACAAAAAAATACATTTGTATGTGTAGAGAGAACAGAGATCTAATCATTTATTTTACCATAGGGGCGGATCGGTTGCACGGTAGTTAGCGCACCGAGTTATCAATCCCAACGCCATGGCAAGTAATATCTGAACCGGAACTGGGAACCCCCTTCACCAAGCTGCACTGACGATCATGGTGAAGTATGGTCAAATGATCTCCCTTGACCGATACAGCAGGAGGCTTTCATTCAGCAATAGATGGACAATGGTATTCATGTTTACCAGTAATGCTTCACAACAAATCTATGCATTATTGCTTGTTCCGTTGGCTGGGTCCCCATCGTTTCGACAAAATGCCCTTGCCAATAACAGCTGGCCCCCCCAGCAGTCCGTGCGTGTTTAACGAGACTGACTGCCGATGAGAACCTGAAGAGTGAAACCCAGTCCTGAGCTTTCTATGTTTAAACAAATTCTGCAAGATAACATTTTACTCTGGAAAGCCCTGTTGTACTAAAATATTTTTTTTTATGGAGAGATATGTACAGATGTTGATTTTCTTACTTTATTACCCATTACGATGATAGGGTTGGAGCTTGTGTTGGCATAAGTGCTGGAATTATGTCTACGATTTGGGCTGGACTTATTGATAGAGCTCATGTTGATACTGAGTGTATTATTGCAGCTTGCCATTGTGCGCAGGATATGATTTTTATTGCTGCTGCCACTGCTGCAGTGCCACCACTTGCCAACCATAACATCTGCTTTTCCCTTGGTAACGTCGTAAGCTTTTGCAATAATATGGGCAGTGCCACAAATTCGGCAGCCTCACGGTCAAAAGTTCACGATCGTCGTGATAATAAATATCTACGGGGTATCATTTGGAAGGCGATTAAAGAGTTTTTGAAAATATGGATTATTTATGGAATAGGTTTATGATTAGACTTTGTACTATGAAACTAAAAAACGATTTATTTTATTTTACTAGATAAGTGCTGGAATTATATATAGCTCTTTTTCAGAAGTGACCTGGCCACAAATGATAGCTCAATTAAGTGGCTTATCACGTGGAAATGTATAACAGCCAAATACTCTAAATGCATGTTTTTAAATGTGGAGGAAAAATTCGGAGTACCCCGGAGAAAAATCCTCGCCACCACGAGGAGAACATACAAACTCCACATGTACAGGCGTCAGGGTCGGGATTGAACCCACGGCCTCCTGTATACGATGCGAGGTAGTTAACATCTCGCCACCGAAACTGAATGCACCATCACCCCGCCATGCGTGAAAAAGTCAGTTCGACTGAGAGTACGCCCGACACAACCGTAAATTATTTGCAACAACGACAACGGCAGCAGCGTTCGTCTACAATGTGTGTGTGAAAATCTGTTGCAAATCTATTCGGTGCTATTACTCACAAGCCCACGTTTACAGCTCTAAAAAATATAATTAAAACACACGTACAGCCCGATTCTCAATCAACTCCTGGATGAGGGCCTCCCCACCCGATATTGTTCATGGTCGTTTTTGACCATACTTCACCATGCCGCTCGGTGCAGGTTGGTGAAGGGTGGGGGAGCATGGACGTGGGCATGTAATGGAGTACAATAGGCGTTGATGCACTGCCCTCTGCTGTCCACAATATGCAAATCACACCTTTTCACGCATTTTGTGGCAACGGTGGACTGAAAAATGTACAGCAAGAGCAAGCTTGTGTGTCTAGCATTCTTGGTGTGGTACAAAGGAAAGTGATCATTTACTGCATTGATACATTAACATATGTAAATGTACACAGTATTACACAGTGTTTAGCGGGATCTTTGACTTCAAAGTTATTTGGTTCGCTAATTGTGACATGTTGCGTTTTTAGAGGAAGTTCTGTTGCTCAAACGCAGCGAGTCGTCAAGGTCTGACAAGGCCGAGGTTGAACACAAAATCAGCAACACCTCCAGCCCGGATCCATGCACAGGTGGGAAATATCTTCATTAACCAGCCATGCCCCATGTTTTATAACAACAACAACAATTATAATCATAACAACAATATCAACTCGTGATGCTGCACGGTGTTCGCTCGCTCTCGTGGAGAGAGAGAGGACGACCGATGAAGAAAATACGGTTAACAGAATCGTGGACGCTTGACGAGGAAAGGGGAACAAAAGACGTGAAAGAGTGCGTGCGTAAAGCAGCATGTGGAGGTGGGTGGGGCATGCTTCGAATTACTGATGGATGATGATGAATGATGATGGATGAATGTGTCCGCGTGCGAAGGTGTCCCCGGTGCGGGCAGCGATGCCGTGAAGGCGTTGGGGAAGACGGGAAGCTTTGACGACCCCTTTTCTGGCTCCGACCCGTTCGCCTCCAACTCGCCCAAGAATCCGGCTGCCAACACAGGCGGCAAGTTACCAGCGTTCAAAAATGTGAGTTCTGCCAACCCGCCTGTGCGGTGTGTCGTCCTCGTCAGAATCGCGAATCGACAGACACCGCTGCATCCAACCAGGCGAGTGTCCTCGGGCGACAAAGGTGGCGCTGGAAGGGCCCGTCTTGAGTTCCAAGCGGCAAATTTGTGTTGTGTGTCTGTGCGTGTGCCAGTAGCACCGTGGGGGTCAGCGCGCACTGTGCCACGAACCCAACGACCTGGGTTCTATTCCTGGCCAAGATTGACGACGGTGTCGAGTGGTATCTGAACCGGTCCTCGGTCTCCGCTAAGGTTACTCGATCAGAATGAATTACCTGGTGTAGTGCGTAAGACAATTGGGACTGTGGCGACGAAAGGTGGCCTAGGCATGCACGAGAGAGTAAGTTCCCCGCGAAGATGGGGTGATGGTGTAATCGGCTCGTGTGCTGGAACTTTGACGGACTTGTTCCCAGATCTGGGGTCAGTTATAAGTACAATTGCACAACAGTACCTTGAGCTGAAAATGACAGTTACATTGTGATTGCAATTCATTAACGACTGTGAAGTGTGCCACTGCGTGCCGGGCGGGACTGGTTGTTGTCGCCCTGCACGTGCTGGAGGAGGAGGCTGTCACATGGCTCTGTTGCTACGTGGGCTGACGTCCAGTCGCTTATAACATTGACATACTACATTAGTATGTAGTTGTATTTAATTAATAACTTAACTTGCAAATCTGGTGCTCTAACTGTAAAAGTCACGCGTAAAAGCATTCGCTAAATACATTCACGAAACGCGCCGTTGCAGTTGCAATTGGCGGCAGGTTTTGTTGGGTGCATCGTGATTCCCGCACCTTCGATTATCAGGGTTGGCAACATACGATGGGAAAGAAGTGCGACATACGTACATACAGCTGGCGACGGCTTGCGGAAGCCATCGTCCAGCAGTGACGATAGATCACGGCTGGGTGACAGTGAGGATATAGTAATAGGTTTTACCCTTTTAACTGGCACAAAAACTGACACCTTTATTCAAGGCATCATGACAGTGAGGATGTTTTGCCCCTTGGGGTTTATCCTCAGCTGAGCTAGCCCACCATCAACTGAGGTGCACGCTGCCGACTGGATACCGATTTGTGCGTCCGTGCGTATGTCCGTCCGTCACGTTGGGCAAGCGCAGATCCTGAGCGAGGAGGACCAGCTGGCGTGGGCCAAGCGCGAGAGCGAGCGCGCCGAGCTGGAGCGCCAGCAGAGGCTGCGCGAGCAGGAGCAGGAGGAGCTGGAGCTCGCGATCGCGCTCAGCCAGTCCGAGTCGTCTTCGACCGCCTGAGCCGCGTCGAACCCGGACTCCCCTCCCCCCACCCACCCACCCTGACCTCGTCGTTGCAGCTCCCCCCACCGATCTCTCCCCCTGTCTCGTACTCTCTCAAGCTTCCCCCCTTCCCAGCGGCCATCCGGCCGGTCCCGGTGACGGTTGCTCGCCGAACGTCCGTCGGTGCGCTTTACGACAGGGGTGGAGAACCTCCGGCCCACGGGTCAGGAATCGGCGCGGGACTTAATTTCATCCGGCCCACAGTCGCGCACACAGTTGGCCTGCCACTTCAAAACGGCGCGCGAAACGATATTTATCCGTCACCGCAAGCATCTTCGCCGCTCTTATCGGGCACTGGGGGGGGGAGGCGGGGGGGGGGGGGGGGGGGAGATATTTTAAACCTGGCATCGCTCTGTTTCCAATTTTCGCTCGCAAAGTTCCTTTTGTCCACCGCGTGGGCTTTTCGCGGTGACAGAAGGACACTGAGGTGTGTGCGGACGTATGAATGTGAATGTATGGCTCTGTCAAAGCTTGAGGGAAAGGTTCTCAGCCTCCCGCTTTAAGGAGGACTGTTGCGTCCGACACGGCTGCGCGCGCTCGCTCGCTCGCTCGCTCGTGCCGGAAGTGTGAAGAAACGAAACTGTTTAAAACTACTAAACTATTTTTTTTATTTTACCAGGTAAGGCTCGCTGAGCTGTGTAGCTCTTTTCTTTCAGAAGCGACTTGGCCACAAATAATAGCTCAACTAGAAGTGGTTTATCACGTGCACATTTATAGCAGACAGATAATCTAAATGCATGTTCAACCTGAATATGGAGGGGAAAACCGGAGGACCCGAAGAAAAATCCCCGCGGCCACGGGGAGAGAGACGTGCAAACTGAAAATATACATCAGGCGTCAAGGGAATCGAACCCACGCTTCCTCCATACCAGGGAGGGGAGTTCCACCGTCGGATGAAAGACATCGACGCGGTGAATCGGGACGTCGCGGCAGCTAGATTAACGTACGGAGAGATGGCGGGACCGAGGGTTATCGCGTGAATATTTTTGCGCGTAAGTTTAGCAGAAGAACTCTCCTCCATGCCTTGTGCTTTTTAACAAACTCGCGGAAATTTTGACCGAGGGCGTTAATCGTAGTTTGAAAAACTCACAAATACAATGCCGAAAAACGTATTTATTAGTATTTCATTCAATTAGAATGGCTGCTATTTCCCTACGATATTCTCTACATATTTCCACGTTGCATGCTTTAGGGTAAGGGTTTCTGCAGCAGTTTAACATGTTAAAGATGTCAACGTGTAAACAGAAAGGATGCGTCTCATACGGTTTTCCGAACAATTTTAATTGCTCTTCAGAGGTTTATCAGTGTTCATCAATATCTGGCGGATTTTTGAAAAACCACCTTGCAGTGGCCTTCATACGCCTAAGATTATGAATTCTCTCTCGTATACATGTATCTCGGCAGTTATTCTTCACCGAAAATTTTAAGCGAGAGCTCTGTTCGTCCCTCGTTAGCGGGGTGGGAAAGGGGAGTGCAAGGCATCGCCGAAGAAAGGGGTGTGGACGAGACATTTTTCAGAAGATATCCTCCCCGGCGTTCGTAGCTGTGCGCGTGGTGGGATGTGCTGGGATGTCTTAAGTTGAACTTGCTGCTTTAAGCCTCCACTACATTGAATGTATGTTTCATTGGTGCCGCTGCCATTGAGTCGGGCTTGGTTGTTGTGTGTACCCCGTTGGTGGGTGTGTCTCTGTGTGTACGTGTGTCTATGCGTACGCACGCGTGTGCTCGTGTGTGAGTTCGATGTCTGTGACGGTAGGTGTAGCCGGTGTTGAAACGTCTCTTCTGAAGCTCTCCACTGCTTGCGGTTTTTGTACTCTTTTCGTGTCCGTCCAGTAGTTACGGGTGGCTCACAACGCACACAGGCCCTGGAATGTGCACGTCGCTTCGTTGCCTTCTTCATGCAAAGGCAACATGCGCGTGCGCACATCCTGTGTGTCTCGCTTTCTCCGTCTCTCTCTGTCTTGTCAGTGTCTTTCTGTCTTTGCGTTTCACTCCGTTGTGTATCCCTATCACTCTTTGTCCATCTCTGACTACATATTTCTGACTGCCTGTCTCAATATTTGTACGTTTTTGCTTCTCCTTGCCTTTCTCCCCGCCTTGTCCGTGTGCGTTTGCATCTTCGTGTTGAAACAGGACTGCTTTTTGATCAGCATTACGGGGAAGGGAGATTTTATTGTGAGTCTCAGGCCGAACAAGTCTTGGAAAACTGTGGACATTCTAGCCACTTGCATTAAAGCAATCTTAATGGACATATCAGCAGTCGGTGTATTGAGTGGCTGGCAGATTATGGTGTTTTTGGGATTCTCAATACATTAATTATCTGACTCATCGGTAACATGAAACATCTTATTGTGGACATTAAGTCTCATTGCAATTCGTATATCGGACAGACCTGCTGTTACAACATGTGACTGCTATTCCTGCGTGTGGTGTGACTCATCATCATTGTTCCGAGGTCCACTAAAATAGGTACTCCTTTGTGGGAAGTCAACAACAGGCTTTTTAACCCATGGATAGACTGGTTTTCGCCATGAGAATGTAGACGTTATCCCTTTGTCAAACGGAGCCGCCAAATGCTCATTGGAGCGTCAAGACACATTGATAAATCTCATACACTCCAGTGCTCCCGTTTTCCCTTACGGATTCATTGAAGCTACAGACCAACTCCCCCCCCACCCCCCATATACTTCTTCAGCGCATTCCGTTGCATCGCAGTGTTGCTGAATTCAATTCACGCGCCCGGTGCGATGAATGGTTTGCTCCGTTCGTTCGGTAACGCCGCGTTAGGGTAATAATGGGGCTTCTCAATACTCCCCCGGCCCTTTTATCCCCCCCCTCCATCCCCTACCACGGCCAATCCTTTCACGTTGACCGATCAACAGACGCTCGTTATGAAAATCGGCGATCGGGGCAAAGGTCGGTTAAACCGTGGTAAGATTTGCCCGTGGCGATGCTGGGATTTAGTTGGGCTTTTTTTGTCGAGCTTTGAGTTGTGAGCACTCGGATGGTTTCTAGCTGTGGCTCGCACCCCTTGCAGGACACTTGTGAATTCCGTGACCGTGTATCCGACGGTGTCTCTTGACAAGAGGTCGACGTAGCTATGGTCTGAACCACTTCCAGATGACGCTTGATCGCAATATCTATAACTGCACAGATACTTAAGTGTCACGATGGGCAGCGAGATGCTCATTACATAGCGCGGACGTCGGGCGTACTCGGAGCGAACGAACTTTTCACCCACGCCGGGGATGGCGACGGTGCCGCTTTGGGTGTCGCGAACACAGCACCGCAGCCATCCCCGCCATCCACGGGCCACATTTCCTAAAGCTGTAGAATACTTCATAATGAAGGTTTATTTTTTGGGGGGCAGAGGGGGAGGGGTTAGATTGCGTGAATGCAAACGTGTCAACCCGCCACCGGCCGACGCAGCCAATTAGGTTTGTCATGTAAACAAAACGTGCCAATGAGTTACTAGTTCAGCACACCCCGGTGCGTTGGAGAGTAAAGGCACAACATTTACAATTTACTCTCCAGCACACCGGTGTGTTGGAGAAGTAACTAATTGGCACGTGCTGTTTATGTGAGAAATCTCACCAATTGGCTGTGTCGGGTGGTGGTGGGTTAACGACACATTTGTACGCGATCTAACCCAGCAGAAACACCTTTATTACGAATAATATTCGTCGCGAAAGCCTGCTACGTGTTAAGCTGTAGAATTGCTTAAACCTTCGCACTGACATTCCAAATACGTGCTATTAATTCGAGATACGTTTGGAACCTTTTGGCGGCGGGGGGGGGGGGGATTGGTTGGTCCTTGTGAAAGCCAGCCAGCCCCGTGAGCGGGTATAGCACCAGTATCGGGGTAGTCGCTCGTTCTCGACACGGACGGAGAGAGACCGCTCACGGGACATGCGTCGCATGCTGACGCGCGCGGTAGGTTCGGATGGCGGGTCCCGAGTTTCGTGCCCGCGACCGGGTTCGTTCGGTGAAGAAGAAACGATCAAAGGCTGCTTTAAATGCAGCCCTCGGTGGTGGTGGTGGTGGAGGCGGCTCTCAACCGCCGTTTGAAGAGTTGGGAGGGGTTATGTAGCTGTCGCTCGCGTCTCTCCAGTCGACAACGACCTGCTTTATTTATTGGGTGGGTTGAGGGGTGGGGGGGGGGGGTGAATTCATGTATACTAAGGATATAAAGGTGCGTAAAAGCACTTCACACGGATGTCAATAACGGCATAATGCTGTGAATAGCGCTGTACACTGCAATAGCGGAACCGCTCGCTGCACCACTCGAAACCAGGCCTGGATTGTCAGAGCTAAACCTTGCACCCTAACCGTGATCTAGGCTGTACTCTGCATGTGTGCGCCCCCTCGGTGTCCCCTCTCGTCTTAAAAAAAAAAAAGGCGAGGAGGGGGGTGCTATGTGATGTCATGAGCGTTCTGCAAATCGTTACCGCACAGGAAAACTGCAAACGGTTACTCTCGGTGCTTAACCTCACGCGGGAAGCTATCGCGACGTCACAGAGTGACGTGTCATCATCATCCTGTGACGTCCCTAGCCGTCAGCTTGGTTGGCGCACGCGGTGGTGCGCTGCTACCCTGCGAAATGTCTTCGTCGCGAGCCGATATTACAACTGGAGTGTAACTTGGAATAAAGGCTAAAACACACCACGCACAAAAGCTAGCTAAACAATGCAATCGCACGTCGCTATGGCTTGGTTGTAGCCGCTTTCCACGGGAGGCGCTGTGCCCCACTTGTAAATGAGATGCTCGTGGAAGCTGCCCCGGT